CGGGAAGAGCTGGGTCCGTGGGTGCCGTTGGAGCGGGGCTCCCCGCCGGCCGTGCGGGAAGGCGGGTAAGGTGGCGGGTGCCCAGGGCGCCGGGACACCCCGGGACACCCCAGCGCCCTGCCAGCGCGGGGGCGGTTTGTTTTCCCGCAGCTCGGGAGGATGAGTGCGGCAGGGAAGAGAAGAGGAAGGCCCAACAGAGGAGGAGGAAGAGGGCGAGGAGGAGGAGGAGGTGACAAAAGGAGAGGAGGAGGCGGCAGAGGAGGCGGCGGCCGTTCAAACAAGTCTCAACTCGGTGGAAATAGGAAATGCTCAACGAAAATTTGGGACGACGGGGATGATTTTTGTCTCTTTGAGGAACCAAGGTAGGAATCCTTGCCTTAATTTGTGTGTATTTGCTGCAGAAGAGGTTGGGATATCCCGGACCTGCCTTTGGGGCATCTTTGAGCGTGCAGAAATGTGAAGGCGTGCGTCAATCTCCAAGCTAAAGCTGTCGTGGTATAAAGCTGCTCCTGCATTTTTGTTCTCATTAGCGATGTTAACTACTTTGTAGCTATGGAACACTGTGTGGCTTTTTTTTCCCCTTCTTTTTTAAGATCTGAATATCTGTTAATTTTATTGTCTGAAAAGACATTTAAGAACATCTTTGATCAGCAGGCACTAACAAACACAGAATAATCATTTTTTTTGCATCTTACAAAGCAGAAGTTGGACCATTTAAAAAAAAAAAAAAGAGTTTATTTTTCAATCTCAAATGTCCTGTAGCCAGTGTAGCCAGTCAAGCCCAGAAATACTGGGTTGYGCTGTAGTCTGAGCACACCCTACCTAGCAAAGCATTTATTAACTCCGTGTGGGCTTGGCATAAGATAAGATGCATATATGCATGTACACAGACACTCAAGCCTTCTGATCATGTAAAGGTGAAGCCAACTAAATGTTCTTTAGATGACAGAAGAGTATTATTATTTTATTTTTTTGAAATAGAGGAGTTCGTCCTAAAGTTTTGCTTCATATGTTATCAGATAGACAAATAAAAGTCAATGCTGATAAAAGTGTTGTCTTATTTTGCTTTGTAGATTGAGTGTCCCTGCCAGAAGAGGAGGGCAAACAAGGCAAAGAGCAGAAGCCAGAATGCCTCTGCAGACCTTGCACATGACATCGGAGAACCAGAGAAGAGTGAAAGAACTTCTTCGAGAGCTTCAAGGGCAGGAGCTGGCACCTGAATCAGAGTTAGTTTGAATAGAAGCACTATTTCCAGGTGTTCTAGATGAGCATGCAGTTAGAATTCAACCAGATTTTTTTCCCCATTAACTTTTAATTTGTTCTCAAATCAGCTTTTTTTTTTCAGTCTGCTTTTGTTTCCTATACAGCCTTAACTTGGGGAAAGGGGCAATACAGTTCTTCCTTTACATGAATACCATGGGTTTTTTTGGTCCTATCAGCAATGCAATTCTGTTTTATTTTAAAATTTAGTAACTTTTTGGTTTTTGATCAGAGTAGCTGGTTCTGATGAAGATGATGATGAGCCTGATTACCTTGATGATGAGCAATGCTGGTCTACAGATCAAGAAGTTCCTGATATACCTCCAAGGTCTTCTGCTGACGTACCTGAACATAAAACCATGGAAAGCGAGGTGTCTCTGTTTGCTGTGCATAAACTGTCCAGGTGATGTTTTTCACAGTTTGTATCCCAAAGAGATAAATCCCTCTAGGTTCAATACTGTTAGCCATTGCTGTCTGGAATTCTTCCTGGCTCCAAGGAAATTCCTTGCGCAGAACTAATAGCGTTGTATCTCCTACGAATATAATCTTCAGCTAGATGAATTTAAAATAAGGCTGCAACTGGAAATCGAATCCTGTTGCATTCAGAGGCATCAGGTGCCATGTAACATAATCACTCACCTTCTAAACAACAGACTGACACAGAAAGCAAAGCCTGCTGCCAGCCATGATCATTTAAAGTAGCATGAACGTTGGCATTCTTGCAGTAAATTAGTATCTCATGTTATACCCCTGTCCTTACTGTAAGCCTAATCAAACAAATCTGTGATTTTTCTTCTGACAAGTTTCTGTCTCTYGCCTGTTTCATGTTTGCTCTTTTTTGTTGCAGGTATGGGTTTGACAAGGAGCGTTGCAGGACAGTGCTCAGATCCTGCAATGGTAATATTGGGGCATCACTGGAGTGTTTGTTGTCGCAGTGCTTTGYGGAAAGATATGGAGAGAAGGTGCAGATCTCTGCAGCAGCTGTTCAGGCCAGTCAAGAAGAGTGTTTAGAACAGAGACAAGAAGAAGCTTTTGTGCTCCAGTCGATCTACGGACAAAAGTTTGTGGAAAGAATTCAAAACCGAGTTTGGACTTTTGGTTTGGAACTGGAGTACCTAACAAACAGCCTGAACAAATCTAAACAAAAGGACACCTCTGGTAGAGACTCAACAAAGCAGACTTCACAAGAAACATGTAAATTTTACCTCCAAGGAAGCTGCAGGTTTGGTTCAAAATGCAGATTCAGGCATGAAACTCCTCCACATCATCCCATAAGATCAGCTAAGAGCTGTGTGGATGATGCTCACCTTAGACCTAACAGCGATGACCCTCCCATGTATGAACTTGAAATAAGATTTCCTGCGGAAAATAAGTATCCACTCCAGGCACCTCTTGTGGCATTTTATTCCATCAATGAGAATCTACCTCTTGCTTGTCGCTTGCACATTGCTGAATTCCTCTTTGGGAAGGCCTTGGTAGCTGCAGAGTCTAGTGAACCAGTGGTGTACACGTTAGTGACTTCCTTAGAAGATGAATCGGAAATATGCGAGTTGCTTAAAAATACTCACCACAAGTACAGTGTTCCTCCTCTGTCCTTGCAGGCAATGCCTTCAGGAAGACTGCTGACAGATGGTTCAGCTGGTTCAAATCAGGTGTCAGAAGGTACAGCGAATTGTCCTCTACCACTCCTGGTTAGAGAGAAGTAAAGAGGTTCGGGGGAAAAAAAAAAAAGAGGAGGAAGAGAGCACAGTTCAGGCGTCTCTTCCAAATCTATTATGTTGGCTGTGGTCATGCAGTGAGCCAGATCCTTAATCTGTCTGTGCCTCGGGAAGTCCTTTCCTTCCTAGTGTGACAGCAGAGAGGTTTTCTGCTTGCAAGAGCTGTATTAAGGGAGTGCAGTGTTACTGAGTTGTGGTTTGGGAATGAATGAGATCTGTTTCCACACAGTTGCTAAAACCACTAAAATCCAGCTGTCTGTAAGCTTTGATACTTCTGCTGATCACCACTTCTGAAACATCCTGAAGCTAAACAAGCGTGCCCTAATTTAGTTTTGTAGAGTAAATGTTTTAAGCAGGTTTAGAATGTTTCCATTTCTTATGGTATCCTCCCTTTCACGTGCAAGTAGGTTGGTTTCACGCTGGGAGAGTTGAGGCCTCCTGTTATTTGTGGGTGACAGCACCTGCATGATATAGATGACCTCCTAGCTCTCAGTTCAAAAGCTGTCTTTCTTAAGGCAAGTTTTATTAAGGAAAGTTTGCAAGAACAAATGCATTACATTTTAGAGCACCTAAATGATAACCTATTTTTTTATTATAGTCAAGCAGCTGATATAAGCATTTCCATAAAAAGATAGCTTGATTACTGAAACTGAATAGAAGTTTCAAGTAATTTTATGTTATGAAATCATCATGTTTTGATAAATACAGCCTCAAAACTCCTGAGGGCTATCTCGTTGTGTGGCTAAATCCCACTTAAACTCACAGGAGGTAGGCACCAAAGTACCTGGTCCATTTTTAGCCTTGGTTTACAAGTATTTTGTAGTGGCCTAAAAATGTTATTAACACACCACAGTGTGGTTTTAATCATTTAAACACAGTCTTGTGCTACATTCAAGTGGTTGTGTGGTGGATTGGGTAAGGAAGTGAAAGCAGAGCTAAAACACAATGAATGCTTCTTATGTTTTGTTTTCCATCAAACCAGTTAGTTAATCTGATTCACCATGTGGCCACCCGAAGGATGGTGCTGTGAAGCACAGAGCTGCTGCAGGGATAGTAACGAGTGGGCTGGGATTGGAGAAGTGGTGGTGGCTTTTTTGATGGGGAGATTTCCTGGTAGTGTTGAGCTAAATGCATGTCAAAACCAGTCCTGGGCCTCCCCAGCTCTAATCTAACAAGATTCCCTATTGAGATGCTCCTGGACCATGCAGCTTCCTGATTTTTATACACTGCTGAGGCTAGTCCTTTTCTTTGGTGATATAACTGCATTCTCTGTCTGAAGTCTCTGTAGTGTCAGAGCCTCAGAAGGAAGAGGAGATAGCAGAGGAGGAGGAGGAGGAGGAGCCAGAAGAAGTTATTGTGGAGAATGAGAGCTACGTAAACCTCAAAAAAAAGCTTTCCAAAAAGTATGATATGCAGACAAAGTCTCTGTATAACGAAAATGTTAAAATCTGCAAGCAATTTCGGCTGAAAAAGGTACAGTATATAGAAAAGAGTATGTGTTTTCATGCTTGCCTGAAGAATATATTTAAACAACAGGACTGTTCCACTCCGGTTGTATTCTTACTGCTAAGGTGCTTGTGTTCCAGTAGTTTAGCAAACAATTCTTCTGAAGTCTACAAGCTGCTTTACATTTGTTTTGGGTAAAGAATTAAATATGCAATGCAAGATCTTTTGGAAGAGTTATAGGATAATTTGTTTTTATTTATTTATTATTAGTCTGTTGCAAACAAAATGCATCTCGTTCTAGATGCAGAATCCCCTAGCTCATGGGACAGATGTCTCCACTATTTTTGAGCAACATGAAGGGAATCCTGGTCGCTTGCAAAGCTGAGTTTTATCACTGTTAGAACATTAGAAGCAAAATTTACATTTAATTTTTATCAGAGAGCTTTCAGCCAAGTGTCACATTAAGTGTTTTAGTAGGCGATTGCTTCAACTACTACTATACAAAGATATATCAGATACCTTTAAGAATAACAGCAGCTGTAATTCTGCAGCAAGTTGTATTGGGGATAGATTAGGCATCTTAAAGAGATCTTGTGGCTCTTGGATGAGTTCAGACTAAAAATACATGTCAGATTTTACCAGAAAATTGAATACAGGAGTCATATTTTAGCAGAATGCAGGCAAATACTGAAATTCCCTTGAAGTTCATCTGACTTTCTAGTTAATATCCTTATGCTCTGCCTTATAGACAAACTTAATGCAAGAAAATCATTCTCTGGGTTATTTTATGCAGGAGTTTAGAGGAAGATCAGAAAAAATTGTTTACAAATCTAAAATTGATGAACTTAAGGCAGGACTAACTGCAGGTACCAACTTCTTCGTAATTATTTTTGTGTGTCAGTCTTCTAGGCACTTCCAGTCTATGTTGCAGGAAAGACAGAAGCTCCCTGCGTGGCAAGAAAGGGAAACCATTCTTGAGCTGCTGAATAGGCACCAAGTTCTTGTTGTGAGTGGCATGACAGGGTAAGAGTGTGATTTGCCATACAGAATTTATACATCAAGCTATACGTAGAAGAATGTGAAACATAACTAAGTCCTGAAAAGATTAGGGTCACAGTCTATTCGTGACCGGTGACAGCAGTCCTGGACAAATCTTTATGCATTGTGGCACTAATGAAACAAATTTCAAGTGGGATAAACTTATCTTATTTTTCTTGGATAGAAGTCTGGGTTTTGTTCATTTCTTTTTACTGATTTCCTGTGTGTTTTTGTTGTGGGTTTTTTTTTTTTTCCCCTCTCATGCAGGTGTGGGAAAACCACTCAGATTCCTCAATTTATTTTGGATGCTTCATTGCAAGGCTCTCCAAACAGAGTTGCAAACATCATCTGTACTCAGCCTCGCAGGATCTCTGCCATTTCTGTGGCTGAACGTGTAGCCAAAGAAAGAACAGAGAGGATTGGAATCACTGTGGGATATCAGATACGACTAGAAAGTGTAAAGGTGTGGGGGTTTTTTTTTTGTTTTGTTTTTTCATTTAACTCTATTAAAAGGTGTATAGAGCATGTCCAGCACACAAAATATCTGTTCTATATGCACTAGATTTTGAGATCAGGAAGTGCATATTGTCCCTCTGTTTTATCTCCTCCCAAATTGCCCAGTCCTCTTTACAGCATGAGAATGCAGTAACGTTTTGGGCTGTTATTTCAGTCTCTGAGGCAGTGATTCACGGTCTGAGGGTATTAGTAATGCTTCTATCCTCTGGAAGCTTTCATGAGGCGTCTCCATTTGTTTCCACTTGGAGACTGAACTGTTTAACTTCAGTCAGTCAGAAGGGAAGGGATTGAATGTAAAGTGCCGTCCTGGAAATAAAGTTCAGTCTGTATTCCAGCTGATTGCTTTTTCCAATAAATATGTTTCAAAAAAGATTCAAAAAAGATTCACTGAATCATTCCTGGGACAGAGAACTGAGTTAACCCACAGTCACTTCTTTAGGGAAAAAACAACAAAAAAAAACAAAAAAACAAAACAAACAAAAAAAAAACTTGGTTTGGATTTTTTGTTCATCCCTTATAGTTATGCCTCATGGTAAGAAACAGATGCTTAATGAAGATTATTTTGAAAATAAAATACCTTCAGCAATGTCTCCAGAAAAAAACTGTTTGTTCTCCTTCTCAGCTGGAAATGGATGTTTTACAGCAACACCTACTCTTTGCACAATGTTAAATTAAACAGTGCCCAAGCAAATACATTGTGCTTTTGTCTTGGTAAATGTATATAATGAGATGATATTATTAGTAACTGTATTAACACTCAATATATTCAAGTCCTCAGCTACCAGGCTGTTGTATTGCACTACTGGTGTGCTGCTGAGAAGGCTGGAAGGAGATCGGGCTTTGCAGGGAGTCACACATGTTATTGTGGATGAAGTTCATGAAAGAACAGAAGAAAGGTAAATGATCCTCTGTCCAATCAGCAAAATGAAGAGACACAGTCAGAAGCACTGAGTTGACTAAGATGCAAATAACTGAAGCCAAACTTGATGATTTTATGGTAGAAATCTGTATGTGTGATGATGGTAGGAGTTAGGCTTTAGGTTCTTGTTCCTGTTCAGTAGGGAGCGGTGTTGCAGCAGTTTGCAAGGAAAGCACATCTCTCAAATACTCTCTGCTCCTTTCATCCAATTTGCATTGAGAAGAGGTTTAGAATGAGGCGTGAGGGTTAAGAAATAATTTTTTTTAACCATAGTTATTTGGTCCTGATAACTTTATTCCTCCCTTTTTCAGCTCTCATCAAATACCCTAATTCTTCATATTCCCTTTCAGGAACTGTTTATCTTGACACATGGCCTAGGGGAGCACCTACAAAGTGCACGTGCTCTCTATTTTTACATTCTAGATTTTTCCAGTCCTGCACATTTCCCATACTGTCCTGCCCCCCTGACCTGCTGATGCCAGGGAAACAACGTTGTCCATTGCTGTATCTATGAAATGAGTGATACCAGAAGGCCTTTTCTTGGATGTTTTCTTTGTCAAACACTGAAATACAGGGAATTTTGAGGAGGTTTTGACTGTGACCTGCTATTCTACATCTTGGATTATGTTTTGGTCCTATAAAAGGGCATGTGTCTGTTGAGGATTCTTTTTCTGCTAGTCTCAAATCACTTGAGGCCAGTTTTCCGCGTGTGACACAAAACTTATATGTGAGAGAGATGCAGCGAGTGAGGAAGAATGGGTACATTTGAATGACTGTCTCCAGTGGGGAAGAAGCAAAAAGGATTCATCTCTTGCTTTGAGTTTATCTGCTGCTCTTATGTTGTCTTTAATATTAGGGGTACTAATTTATAGGGTAGCTGGTATCTTTTGTTCCTTATATAAAGCTGCCACATAATCCTGACACTTGAATAGGGGACAGCCCCAAATTAAGTGGATTGGTGCCTGTTTATTTACTGCATCTTTAACTGCCAGGCATTATGTAAAGTTCATACTTTGTAATACTATAGCTGTAATGTTGGGAAAGGTGAAGAGCATGAGGAGAAGGAAAAAATTCTGAAAGTCTTTGCTTGTTTTCCTCAGTGACTTCCTGCTGCTGGTTTTGAAGGATGTAATGTTGCAGAGACCAGACCTGCGCGTTATACTAATGAGTGCTACCTTGAATGCAGAGCTTTTTTCGCAGTACTTTCAATCCTGTCCAATTATTAACATACCAGGTGAAAAAAAGTCACTTTCATTATCTGTTGCATTCATTTTTTTAGAGGTTTGGTTTCCATTTTACTGCTTGTGAAGTTGTGCTCCCTTCCTGTGTAGGTTACAGTGGTAAATGAGGAATAGATCTCACTAACCCAAGCTACAAACAGGAGCTAATTGACAGAGGGGCAAGATGAGGATTTATGCAAAATCTATGATTCCAGTTGAATGAATCTCCTTGTAAAGAAGTAACAGTGAGAGGATCTAGTTGAATGCAAATGTGCCTTTTAAATTGCTCTGCTATTACACAGAGCCTCATAGAAACACTTATTCTGAGCAGTGTATTCCCAAAAGCACATCAGCCCTACTCTGCAGGGAGTGCAGGAAAACTCTGCTGGGACTATACTGAGAAAACATCCCCTGCTTTCCGAGGCAGAAATTGTGTGTCTGTATCTTAGTCACATGTTCCCATTTAGATCACAGAGATGAGTTAGAATTAAAGTTGAGGAACCAGGGGATGGAATAATACTACCCCTTGCCTTACACCTCTTCCTGCATGTTGGGTGCCAAGTCCATTTATTATTTCTCTTGTTACTCTCTAGGTCGAACATTTCCTGTGGATCAGTATTTTCTGGAAGATGTGATCTCAATGACAAGGTAGGAAAGATGCATTTATGTTCACATGTCTTTGGTGTTTGCAGTTGCAGAGCTGACCTTGAGACTGCAGTTGTTCTGTATGTGAATTTAAAAGTGAAATTTCCTCAAATTCCCCTCTCCCCTCCCTGCCCAACCTCACAGCCTTAGAGTTCTGTTAAAGCACTGAATCTAAAGCATAATGCAGTGGGGTCTGGGGTCCCAGGTCCAAACAAGCCTTTCTGCATTAGATACTGCATAACTACTTAAGAAAAGGCAGCCTTTACCATAAAAGGGTTTGTTGGGGCCTGCATATTGGCAAACTTCCCCCCTGAGCACTTGCTCAACTGTGCTCAACTGTGGTTAGACATTAGGAAGCCAAAGAAATGAATTAGGAAGCCAAAGAACGATGATAGATTTCAGCATGGAAGGGGGAAAGTGTAGAATACCAAAAAAAAAATGCTTTGGTGTAAGCCCTGCCTTCCAGCAAAAAGTGAGATAAAGATGCCTGAAGCCAATTATGTTTACTGGAGAGCCAGAGCAGCACAGATACTCCAGGAAGTAAACAGATCAGCCACTGTAAATTGCTTAGACAGTTACTCTCAGCTCTCTGTTGAACCGTTAGGATCAAGCTGGCAGTGCTAGTCTTTCTCACCCCAACTTTTAAAAGACTAATGTCTCAGCAAGGCAGGACATCTCTTCTTCCAGCAGAGTTGGTTCTAAATTTCAGCACCTGTGGTTTTCTTTTAATGACAATTACATTGTGGATGACGAGACTTGAGCCTTAGACTATCCCAAAACTACCTTACCCCAAGGTTAGAGCTATCACTGGGAGTGAAGAACCTTCTTTGTCCTAATTTTCCCCCAGTAAAAATGAGTTCATTTGAAAAATACTCCTTTGTTTGTCTTGAGGTGGAGAGGTAGAGCAACAACATGAAGTGAAATAAGAACAAAGCGAAAGCCACAAACTCTTTACTGTCTGTGGGCTTGCAAGCCTCTTGATATAAGTGCCAGAGGTACTTAACATAAATACTTCAGATATATCACCTCTATAGCTCATTAGTAGGAAGAGACTGGTACCCTTCACACCACTGAATACTCTCCTGCCCTTCAGGTATGTCTTAGAGGACAGCAGTCCCTATAGGCGCAAGGCAAAGCAAGAAAACAAACAGAATGGAAGACATAAAAGAACTGCCTTTGAGGAAGTAGAGGAGGATCTGAGACGTGCTGGCATCCTGGGAGAGGCTGATACAGCCATCAGGGATTCAGACCCAGACCAAAAATTAACTCTAAAACAGCTCCTGGCAAGATATAAAGGTGAGCTCTTCCCTAAATCTGATAAACTGGTATATTACATCTGCCAGCCAGCATGGTGTAGTAGCATATAACATTGTATATTTAATTCATATACATCATTCAGAATTGTATGGTTGTCAGGTTAAGCAAGTCACTGTTTTCTAGATGTGATTGGAAACTGCCAGCCAAATTCAAAAGAAAAAAGAAAAAAAAAAAGACCTCATAATTCTCTTTAACTGCAACAGATGTCTTGTCTGCAAAGTTTTTAGCATCTGAGGAGAGACAGTTCTCAGTTTTTATCTATTTCCATCCTCTCTCCGATGCCTTGTCAGGGCAGCTTTAAATAAAGCCCTGTGCCCATCTGGCCACATCAGGGAGGTCTTTTCAGCATCACAGGCCTTTCAATGAGACATTTGGTCAGTTTGTGAGCATCTTAATAAGACAGACAGACCTTTCCATTAACTACCCACTCTGTCACCATCAAAGTCCTCCCTGGACTCTCCCAACCAGGAGAGTTCTTTCCTGCACACCCTAATGGTAACTTCTCCGCTTGGAGAAATGGGCTATTGCGAAAAAGCAAATATTGCTATTGCCAAAATTGCTAAAAAGCCTCATGTGCCACCTAGGGGGTGAGTATCTCAGGCTCCTAAGGTGACTTGTGAAGGTGCTAATGACCGCCGTTTCATGGTGGTCCTGTCGTGGTACTTCTGAAATAGCCAAAGGAAAAGGTATTTCAAAGTTCAGGAGATCTATATGTCTGCTCTTTATATGACTATTATAATGGGAGACGAATCTTAGTGTAGCCTATGTACTGGTTCGACCCGAGCACTGGTAAGGTATGACAAGGAAGGGGAAGGGTTGGAGTTGGGGAAAGAATGGAATGAGGATAGAGGGGCACTGAGCTACTTTTGGGACTGTTTGGACCAAAACATGGTAGTCTGAGTAGCCAGGCTGTGGCTCAGTGTATCCAGCACAAGCTTTTTGTGTTGGGATTTATGGGGTGGATGTACTGTCTGATTTATTTTGTCCCCAGGAGTTAACAAGACAGTGCTGAAAACAATGTCTGTCATGGACTTGGACAAAGTTAATCTGGAATTAATTGAAGCTTTGCTGGAGTGGATACTCACAGGCAGACATTCATACCCCCCAGGTAACTTGACTGGCCTTGAAAGATAAGCAGAAGGGGATTTGTGGAGGCGATGGGCTTGAGCAAATAGCACCCAGCTAAAGTTCTGAGYGTTAAGTTTCCATAGTTAACTGTCTATTACTGAAAAAATAAGGTTTTGTCTGACTGACAAAGCCTCTGGCTTACATGAGATGAGGAAGACAAGAGAATTATCTACCTCCCTGGAAAGTCTTTGGTGAGAGACTGAGGGATTGTTACAGCCTGTTACAGTTCTCTTGTGCAGACAAGGACCTTCTGCACGTTATTCAAATCTCATACTAGGTGTTACCTATTTTTCTGCTCAGTGATTTTTTTTTTCTTTTAACTTTTTTTTTTTTTATCCCTGTTGTCTAGGTGCTGTGTTGGTATTTTTGCCTGGACTAGCAGAAATCAAGATGCTTTATGAGCAGCTCCAGTCTAATGCTCTTTTCAATAACAGGCACAGCAAGAGGTAAAGCAGAAAATCTTCAGAACAGTCTTTTCCCTAAAGTCTTTACCCTAGATTAAGGGTAGTTTTCTGCACATTGTCTCTTTTCATTTAGAAATAATTTAAGGTTACTGAATGTGTGAGATAGTTAAGATCTTCCTTTCAAAAGCTTTAGGGTAATTCTTGTTCTCCTACTGTCTTATTGGATTGCTTTGTATTTTTTTCTAAGCCTAGAATAGTGAAAATGTCAAAACTTGTGACTAATTTAGTTGAAGTTTTCAAAAATGATTATATTCTTCCACTCCGTGCTGTGCCTGATCCAGTGGACTGTTGAAAACTTCACCTCAGCCCTTGTTGTTCCAGAAGCTCTGCAGAGACGTGTTTAGAGGTTGTTGTGGTGTTTGCATTCAACAAAATTCAGATTGTTACATGGAGACAGGAATGTATCTCGTTAACTAAACGTTGCTTACCTGCATGCCCTTGGCATGGTTGGCTGGAGTGATTCCTTCTGGTTTGGCATAAGTGGAATCCTCTGGAATCTTCTTCAGAGATAGAATTCTAGTACATCCTGATTCTGAGCCACCTCCCTTCCATAAACCTCCCCTGGAACATGTCTTACACTGAACAGAGCAAAAAGGTTTGCTTCTTGGGCAAGTGTGCATGCACRCAGACTTGCTGGAGGCAAAAGGCTGCTGATGCTCAGCACGTTGTCTTACTTTCCCTCTAGGTGTGTGGTTTATCCACTTCATTCCTCGCTGTCCAGTGAAGAACAGCAGTCTGTGTTCCTCAAGCCTCCTGCAGGAGTTATCAAGATCATCATCTCTACAAACATTGCAGAAACATCTGTCACCATTGATGATGTGATCTATGTGATTGATTCTGGGAAAATGAAAGAAAAAAGGTACTGGTATTCCTTGGGGCTCCTTTAGTTCGGAAACTACTGATTCAGGCTGCAAACTTCCAGTTTTGAAAGAGCTGGGAAAAAAGTGGAGGAGCTTGGAAAGCTGCTGTGAAGTGGGGAAGCCTGTCTGGACCAGGTCCCAAAGCCCATGGCCGGGGTAGGAGCTGTGTCCAGTTGTGGCAGCATCTGCCTGCTTGAGCTGCAGTGTGTTCACTGTCACAGCGGTGGACATGAGCTTGTTCTTTCTTCCCTGCAGATACGACCCAAGCAAAGGAATGGAAAGTCTGGAAGACACATTCGTGTCCAGGGCCAATGCTTTGCAAAGGAAAGGGCGAGCAGGCCGGGTGGCTTCAGGAGTCTGCTTCCATCTGTTCACTAGCCATCACTATAACCATCAGCTAATAAAAGAGCAGCTACCAGAAATACAGCGAGTGCCCCTGGAGCAGCTGTGCCTGAGGTGAGCTCTTATTCCTCTGTTGCCTTAAAGGTGTCAGTGTGCAGAATGTCCTCTCTGTAACAAAGGGAGTAATCTGCAGTGCTTTTGCCAAGGCTTTGGCTTTCCCTCTGAGTTTTCTGACATTATGAAACCTCCCCACTTACTCTTATATTTTACACTTTGATCTCGCTGTCAACTTGCCACTATGTTCAGAACCCCTTCTAATGGGACTTGCAAGTTGGATCAAGCACCTTCAGCATGTCAGGGCTAGATAAAGAGGCTGCCTATCCCTGCCTCACGATGGGTACCCCTTCCTACAAAAAGGAATTTAAAAAAAAAAAAGAAAAATTAAAAAAAACAGCAACACAATTTATTATGGTAAAGACATCAGTAAAAACTCATTGTGCTAAATGGGAATCTGTGTTTACTGACTTTGTGAGGTTGGATGAGGTAAAAACTCCCTCTGCTTGTTTCACATTGCTTCCTGCCTTGCATTATGCCTCACAGGCCATCTCTGAGAGAGCACCTTCTTAGGATTGTACTTTCTGAATTTTTGATAAAAGTTTGTTGTTTTACTAGTGTATTGTTTATTTATTTTACTTTTTTTTATCTCCTGAAGAATTAAGATCCTGGAGATGTTTTCTGCACAGAGTCTTCATTCTGTCTTATCCCGATTAATTGAGCCCCCGAGAGCCGAGTCTTTGCAGGCATCAAAGTTGCGGTTACAAGACTTGGGAGCACTGACGGCAGATGAAAAACTCACCCCCTTGGGCTACCACTTGGCTTCCCTGCCCGTTGATGTCAGGATTGGCAAGTTAATGCTCTTTGGCACCATATTCCGCTGCCTGGATCCCGCGTTGACCATAGCAGCCAGTCTGGCCTTTAAGTCGCCCTTTGTGAGTATTCTGAAGTGTGGCTCAGCATGAAAGGATGTGTTTGCTGAATGTATGTGATTGTCCGTATGGTTATGCAGCCCTTGGGAAGGGTGCAGGGCAGAAATGTCCAGTTATAAGCAGATACCCCAAACCATGCCAACAGGAACAAACTGTGTTATTTATGTTATGAGTGAACGGTAGAGATACTGTAAATGGTATTTTTAGTTCTAACTTAGTTAAGAAGCTTGCCCAAGTTTGGTGTCAGAATTGGCAAATCAGTGGTTTTCATCTTCATCTTTTGTCCACTTTTGGACTGCTTGATATTCTTCCACATGCAATTAGGAATAATTGTGAGCCTCTGATAATTATGAAGATGACATGTAAGCATACAGTTTGGTTTTGATCTCTGTTTGTGTGTTCACTTTCACTCAGTCTTTTTGGATCATCTGCAGTACTTAGCAGTGTTCCCGCTTTTGTGAAACTTCTGTGGCAACGTATTGAAAACTAGACCTTCTTGCCAGCAAAATTTTGATTGCTACACATAGTTTCCATTGGGGATAGTTGTAAAAGAGATGCAAGTAGATCGTTCTGCTTATTAAACTGCATTTTTTCCCCCATATGCTTGCTGAACATTTTGTGCAGCCTTGTAATTTTGAGAGTTCTAAGTCACTATGTGATATTATATACAGTAGCTTGATCTAAGCCTGGCTTTCTTGCTGTCCTGCTTGTCCTGTCCTGTCTCTTGCTGTTACTTTCTCCCTCTCAGACCCACATCAGTTTTTGGACTTAGCCTGCTCTTCTCCATTCYGTGTCTTCTTATTTGAGCCTATTGACTTCTTGTTAAGTTGTCTAAGTGCTTTTTTTCCCCCACAGATCTTGGAGTTAGGCAGCTGTAGAGAGGCCTGCACTAAAGGAGGTGTTTTCTGTGAGCTTACAGATTTACCTTTGGGTCTCTTGCTGTAGGAGCCATGGCCTAGGTGCTTTGCTGTTTCTGCTTGCTGCCTTCCTCTCTGTTACCTCTCTGTGTAAGAATTTGGAGGCTGAGCTGTGAGCTGCTGGCCAAACACCAGAGACTGGAATGAGAGATGTGTCAGGATGTGTTGTCTGAGGTGAGAGGAAAGGGAGCCTAAATCTCTTGCTGCCTTTCTAGGTGTCACCATGGGATAAAAGGGAAGAAGCAAACAAAAAGAAGTTGGAATTTGCAGTAGGAAAAAGTGACTATCTGGCTCTTCTTCAGGCCTATAAGGTAAACTAAAGATAAGCCTCTCAGAGGTTTTTGCTGAAATCTGAGCTGTTGTATTTTATGAAAGGCTTTTTTGTTTAATTGTTTTTTTTTTCCATCTTATTAATTAGGGATGGTGTTTAAGTACCAAAGAGGGCGCTCAGGCGAGCTACACCTACTGCAGGGAAAACTTTTTGTCAGGAAGAGTTCTTCAAGTAAGTCATTTTATTTGTGGCCTTGTACAGGGCTGGGTTGAGGTACCAAAGCAGAGTCCCTGTGTCCAAAATCAGGAACCTGTTAAGACTCTTCTCGTTTGGTTTGGCACCTTTGGCAGCTCTTTGTCTGTTTGTAGGAAATTGCGAGCCTGAAAAGGCAGTTCACAGAACTGCTTTCTGATATTGGCTTTGTGAAGGAAGGGTTAAGAGCCAGGGACATGGAGAAGAAGTGTTGCCAAGGCGGAGATGGTGTGTTGGATGCCACAGGAGAAGAGGTAAGTGGCTACATTTCAGTGCTCTGAACAGATTCTGCAGCTTCTGACTTGACTGTTTTCTCTAACCTGGTGGGCTTCCAACCACAACCTGGCCTTGTTGTGTCGCATTAGAACATCCTGCTTGGTTTGTGTTTCTGCCCTGTATGGAGTAATGCAGCTTGAGAGACTTGAGGCTGGGGTTCTTGTGCCCTTGATTCTCTGGAGCAGGATATGCAGTTTCTGCTTTATGCCATTACTGTAGCCATGAACCAAACATTAGCAAGCCCTTAGGTTAGGCACTAACTGGTGGCAGCCTGAAAGTTAAAATGGAAAATGGGGTTCAGTAGATAAGTCATTTCAGAGACAGAGCTCTGTCCTGTAGTTTACCTCTAGAATATCTAACATATGCATTGATTTCACAGGCGAATTCAAATGCAGAGAACATCAAGCTGATCTCAGCTATGTTGTGTGCTGCCCTCTATCCCAATGTTGTCCAGGTAAAATGTTTTTTAATTTTTTCTCTTCCCTTGCATAGAACTTTCATGCCCCTGACTTTGAATCTGATCTGATTCAAAGGTGTGGGTTTTTTTTTTTTTTTTTTTTTTTTCCTTTCTGCTCCTGGGCTGGGTTTTTCTTCTTTGACCTGGCAGAGCTTTCTGCTTACAGGGTTAGTGCTGGGCAGCTCAACTCGTGCGCTTTGTTTGATATTGCTGTCATTCCTGCGTATTGGCTTTTAATGCCACACAGAGGCCAGCAACAAACACAACAAAAACTTTCTTGTACAGTGAATTCATAATTGTATCTATCTTATTATATAGGTGAAAATGCCAGAGGGAAAGTACCAGAAGACTAGCGCAGGAGCAGTTAAAATGCAACCAAAATCAGAAGAGGTGAAGTTTGTCACCAAAAATGATGGTTATGTTCACATTCACCCTTCCTCTGTCAATTATCAGGTCAGTTTTTTTTTTTTTTTTTTATTTTGCAAAGTGCACTGTATTTTGTAACAGAAATTACCTTTGCTTAAGCAGTGAGATTACAGTGAAAGTCCCTGCTGATGCTAAAAATAAATAAGCTTCTTGATTTGACAGTACTGCTGCCTGGGTTGTAAGTAATGGTGAGGGTGTGTGAGAAGTCGAGTTAATGGCAGAGAATTAGCAGAGGCAGTAACCTACCAAACTGTGTTTTCTTAGAGCAGCTGCTGTATCTTACACACAAAAATGTTGCAGTGAAAATATTCCCCGGCCTTTGCAGCACACTGAGGTTGCTTGCAGGGGAGTAGCCTTCATTCATCCTCTTCATGAAGTGGGGAGCAGCTGTCCTGAGCCCCATACCACATGGGTCACTTCAGATGAAATACTGTTTACTGGTAAATAATTCATGGCTATTTATGGCTTTGTTTCTTCATGTGACCTCAATAGAGTTCATTTTTAGCTTGATAGCCAATTTTTACATGTTAGGCCTTCCCTTCCTACCATGATCTATACCACTTGTCTAATGATCTACCACTTGTCTAATGGGGGCTGTCTCCATATTGCTTTTCCAGAATGTCAATTACTTTAAAAACAACCACACTATCTAGCCCTACATCATGAACTGTAGGACTTTGAGCTCTTCATCATGTTATTCTCAAAGGGCATCACAAGCCCAGCTGCACAAGGCAAATCTCTGTATCATGAAATAACTGGCAGAGAGGACAGGGTGAAGGGAGTCTGTCAGGCAGGCGTGTTCAGGAACGAAACGATGTCGCCTCCACTCTTAGAGGAGGTGCCTGGTTTAGTTTCTTAAGAAGGGTAGTGGTAATGCAACAAGAATGTCAGGCACATGTTGTAGCTAACTAACCGCAGCCCTCTGGGCTCTGCTCTCCCAGACCAGGCACTTTGAGAGTCCCTACCTGGTGTATCACGAGAAGATCAAGACCAGCCGCGTGTTCATTCGGGACTGCAGCATGGTGTCCGTGTACCCGCTGGTCCTCCTGGGTGGGGGGCAGGTTCACACACAGCTGCAGAAGGGAGAGTTTGTCATCTCCCTTGATGACGGCTGGATACGGTTTGTGGCTGCCTCGCACCAGGTAAGGAAGAGAAGTGACAATCCTGGAAGTGGTCCCGGTCTGTGGTCAGAAGGCAGGAAAGCGACTCATCTCTCTTTCTTGCGGGCATTAGGTGGCTGAGCTGGTGAAAGAGCTACGGTGTGAACTAGACCAGCTGCTACAGGACAAGATCAAGAACCCCAGCATGGACTTATGCATGTGCCCCCGTGGCTCACGGATCATTGGCATGATTGTAAAACTTGTGACCACGCAGTAATGAGAGCGGACTTTTTTTGTTAAGATGCTGTTTGCTACTGCCTGACAACAGACCAATGAACATGAGTGTCTTTGTATAATCACAATTGGGTGCTGATTGCTGGAAGTCCAAGTTGGCAACTGTACTAGTCACTTTTTAAAATTATTTACATCTTTGTTTGCAGAGAGCTTGCTGTTTGTGAAGAAGGTGTTTTGTAGAACAAAGTGGGACATGGAAAAAAAGATCTCATGGCAGGAATAGCAACCTCCAGCAAGAAAATGAATTGTTTAATGGAGAAGTTAATGTGCTGACAAGGTGGTTTCTGGTCTCAAAAAATACCTGCTTATTATTAGCCACTACTTGTAATAATAAGGTCTGGAGGCAGCCTGTTGCTTGGTAAGCTGCTCCTAAATGGGGCTAAGCTCACTCCTGCTCTTTGTCTGAGGCATCACTGACACAGTTTGTGTTGGCTGATAGGGAAATGGACTTGCTTTAGGAACAAAAGCCTTTAAAAGGGCATGAGCCTTTTCAAGGTGTTTGAAAGGGGAGGTAGAAAAACTCCTATAGCAATAAGACACTATGAAAGCCTGGGTCAGGCAGTTAAGTGATTGGTTGGATCAGCACCGAGGGCTCTCCAATTAAGCTGTAGAACTGCAGGAGAGGATGGACACTCCTCTGGAACAACTGCTTTTCATTGGCCCTGAACTACCCAAAGAGCAAAACATCTGCAAGGGGCTGCTGGAGCCATAAAAAAAATTCCTGGGTACAGTGTTACTGCTGAACTCTGCCAGGGGAAGGTGGCCTTCCTGCCACACCATATAACTGAAAGGAAATCAAGATTGAGGGTTTTTCCCCCCCCCTCCTTTTTCCCTAATCTAAATTCCTGCTCCAGGGAACAGCTGGAGCAGGCTGCAGTGACAACATTACTATTCTGTCCTTCTACCTTGCATAATTACAGCTGGTCTGCTTGTAATGAGAGCAAGTGCCTTAAAGTAAGTTTTGACTACTCTCATCTGAAATAGTAAAAAAGTTACAGCAAATAGAAGCATTTCCTGCCTGGAAATAAAAGTCTTCAAGCAGAGGTGTAAGGGAGAAGTGGGTTTTTTTTTTTTTTTTTTTTTTTTAACTAGTTTCCTTTGTTAAAAGCACCCTCAGGGGTTTTACAGAAGCCATTTCACAGCAGCACCCCTCCTTACCCAAGAAAGAAAAAGAGAAGAGCACCAGGACTGAGGTATGGGCACAGGCAGCTGTTCTCTACAGCTATGTTGAACTGCAGCAAATTGACTTTTTCCAGTATTTGATTAAAATTGCAGGACAAGCACATCAGCAATAGCACCAACCAGAGATAGCTGCAAGCGGCAGTAAATGATTTATAGTTGCTGTTGACTACTGGGCACGCCCAAAGGACAATCGAGGCCTGGTACTATTAGGAGAATATTAAAGTACAGGAGAGGGCTGTTGTGTTCTCAGAGAATCCCCATGCCTATGGCCTTGTGTTCAGTGACGCTTTACTAGACTCAGCACTGTGGCAGACACTCTCTTAACAATAAGCAGGCTTTATACAGCACCTACTAAATACTCAGATATTTTCTTTTATTTGAGCTATGCTGAAAAAGTGAAGGTAAGGGTGAAGACAGTACATGAGCTTAGAAGAATCTAAGGTGGTAGAAGAATATTTAGTGCTATTGTGCCCCATCTTCCTCTGAAAGCAATGCTGGCTTCCACGCATTCTAATCTGTCTCTGTGTCTGCTTTCACAGCCTCAACTGTTATAGTGCCTGTTCTTAGATTTCTTTACCTCCTCCATGCTGTGCCTGCCACAGGGCTGTAGGAGAGCCTGCAAACTCCATGGCACAGCCTCTACATTTTGTCATGGCCCATGACATTTCCAAGCTTATTGTCCAAGGAGAAAATATGACTAAGTCAATAAATTGGGGTAACTTATTAATGGTGACTTAAAATTTGTGTGACTTTACCTTTTACCATGCAAGAAAAGGCTGAAGTTTCTACAAAAGACAGAGGAAGGTTATTGGCTTTCACAGTAAAACTACCAAGCTGGCACTAGCATGATTAAAACAAGAAGGAACGCTTAACTAGTTTTAGGGGCTTTTGTTCTCCCTATCCAAACACTTCAACAGTTTATATTCCCCCCAAAGTACTCCAAATACCTTCAGTTGAAGTTCACTGGTTCTTAATCACTGGGGAGGTAACAGCAGAGATCACACACCCTACTTTCTGCCCTTTCCTTTTGTTAAGGCCCTCTAAAAACAGCTTTAGAAGTCAAACCTTAAGTATACAAGCACTTCAAAAATGCACACAGAAGGCGCTGTTCAAGAATGAACAGCAAGAATGACAACTGCTTTTGGCTGCACTTCACCCTTATTCAAGGTATGGAGCAAGAAATGCAAGTCCTGTAATGGGAACAAGTTCAAAGGATCCATGAGTAGCTGCTGCACTAGACTCCAATTGTTTTATTTTGATTCCTGTTTCTCCATTTAGTGGCACATGAACTGCTTTAGGTACAACATTAACAAAAGGAGCAGTGTTACAACAAACTACTACTTCGTTAGAAATACAGTTTATTTCAATGTGCCAATATAAAAGCCCAACATTTTCAGATCACAGAACGTTAACACAAGAGTTTTGCATTAGTCTACTAATAAGACTTAAAAGATCCAGAGTCATGCCCATTGTTAGTTGATAGAAATAGCCTTCTAGGACTAAGCCCTTACATTTATAAAGACACCACAAAATCCCTTATAATAATGTAAACAAAATAAATTCTTTTTAAACTTTTAACTTTTTTAATTTGAATCCACTCTCTCAGGTCATGCACTCCTTTCAAGGGCTTCCTGATGGCGAATGACTGAAAAGGAAAGAGGAAGAAAAATTAAATCCCTCAGCAAAAGCAACAGAACCATCCATTCCAGCCCAAGTTTCTTTAACCTAGCCCCAGTGCTTCAGCACTGTTAACCAGTGCAGACAACTGGTGCCACCACTATGTCTAGTGTGAAAGGCACATGATTTTCTCTTTCCACAATTGCATGTGATTTTACATTTGTGAAGAGTAGAAAAAACAGAATCACAGAGTGGTTTGTGTTTGAAGGGACTTCTGGAGATCATCTAGTCCATCACTCTGCTCAAGCAGGGATGCTTAAAACATGTTGCTCAGGTCAAAGCTACAGAGTTTTGACCATCTCCAGAGGAGACTCCACAACCTCTCTTGGCAGACCATTCCACATGCTCTGTTACCCTAACATATAAGAAGTTCTTCCTCATATGGAGATGAAGTGTCCTGTGTTTGTACCCCATTTGTACCTATTACCCTTAAAGCCTAAGCTGTAACTGTTTTAAGCACAAAACAGCCAATCGGAAGTCATCCAGTACAAGGACTTGACAGGACAGCTAGCTGCTCTGTAGCAGTTCAGAGGGTTACTTGTGCTGCCCAAATGAAGGTAAGTTTAATTTACTTCTTTCCAGTTTGGAACAAATTCATGTCAAAATACAGGGATTCCAGCATGTACCCCTCAGGTTACATAAGGGAAAGTTGCTTTTTATTTTAGGTTGCATAGGACTTGGCAGCTGTGTAGCTGAGTAAAAACTGGTTTTAAGTATTACATCAGCAATAGTTCAGTTCTGCAACAGGGTTTACATGTTGCTTGATACTTCAATACTCCCTTTCCAGCTGTACTTAGAGCCATTTTATTTCTTCCATTACCCACTTCTTCCCCAGACTTGAGATTTCTTTAAGGAAAGTGTAGCATGTAGATTCCCATTTGCCTTCATTTTCTGCTGTCCTCTGAAAAGTTCATTAGAGCAGGTAATGAACTCTACAGGACTTTAATAAGAGTAAGTGGACATATGGTTGCCACAATGCTCTATAAAGAAATTTAGATTTATTAATGAAGTACTATCAGCTCTGCAACAACCTCCAAAATTTGACACTTAAAATATCACAGAAAAAGCAAGTTCTTAGCTTGTATCCTAACAAGTTAGTTCCAGTAGCAACCACTGCAGCTGCTAATGCTTATGTAAACAGCTCAATCCAATTTTAAAAGATATTCCTACCTTCTCTTTGGAGATGGTGATCTGGACTTTGAGCGACTGAAAATAAGAAAGTTTCAATCAGTGTAATGTTTTAAATAACTACTTCTATATATATGTATGATATGTATACAAAAAAAAAATCTAGGCACTCAGCCACCACTCCTGGCCCTTTCAAAACAGCAAATAGCTTGATGCTACCAAACAACAAAACCAAACAAAAAAAAACAATACAAGTATCACTCTTAAGGTTACAGAAAGCAAGGATTCCTAAATTTACCACTTTAAGAGTGGCAGTTGAAAAGGAACACTGCTGAACACTGGAACCCTCAGGAAAGGGCAATGCACAGCTTCAAAGCAGCTAAAAAGTATTAAGAATCATCTTCCAAAGCAGGAGCAGTATATGAAAAAAAGAGTTAAGAACTACAGAAAGCATAGAGAAGAGAAGGTAGAGGTGTCCCAAATCTAACAAAACCTTTGTGAAACAAACCATGGTAGATATTCAACCCTGTTGGAAAGAACAGGCTACCATACTACCAAAAGATAAGCTCACCTTGCATTAAAAATGGGAGAAACAAAACAAAAAACCCATCAACCAAAAAAAAAAAGAAATATACACAGAAGCTTTTCCAAGTGCAGCAGAAATAYTGGTCCAAGCAAAGAATCTGCACCATGTGATATGAGAAAAGGAGAGAGGAAGAGGAAAAAAAATAGAACTGAGTGCTTGTTATTATCACGCTCACCTTTTAGCAGGTAAGCCAGACTTAGATCTACCATGGGACCCAGACCTACAAACAGGAGAAAAAAAGCTCAGCAAAGCAGCCAGTGGCATGCACATACGATGAAAGTTAGCCAAATCAGCAACAGCAAATTTACACTGCATAGCATCACACAGAGGACTGCAGCACTACAAGCTTTTCTCTGGATTTAGCAGAAGGTTCCTTTAAAGACCCCACTTGCCAGGAGATGCTATAGCCTCACCAGCTCCCCAGCAAAGCTTTGGCTGGCACTTCCTCAAAACATGTTCTAGGTTCCAAGSTTTGTTTCCCAAGTATCCCAAAAATGCAAAGCTACCATTTGAAGTGTTATCTGGAAACCCCTTCAGTAGCACCACTTTAAGACTGACTTAAGCGCTGAAGAACTGATGTATCCATCAGTTCAAAGTTCTCAGTGGCAGTTTTACTGTAGTATAGAGGCTCAGGCATCACAGTGAAGACATCTAACAGAAATTAAATGCTGTGAATCTAGATCCTAGAAGGACTTCATATTATATCACCACAGTTCATTTCACAGCTCAGAAGCTACAATAAGACTTTCTTGTATATTCAGCATGTTGCTCTGCTGACTCAAATATTTGAGGCTTGGTCACTTAGCATTTGCCCCCTACCATAGCCTCAGAAGTCAGCAAACCTTGCATCCATGTTAGTTCAGAGCTAGCCAGAAGATTTTTTTTTTTTAATTTCTATTCCAGCACAGACACTCAGGGCAAGTTAAAATTAATGCTCCACTACTTTCTCAGCCCCTATGCTGGCTCATCACTGGCAACACTTGCCTGGAAGTCATCCTGAAACTTTTTACCATAATTTTCACCAGAAACATAAACCTTTTTTCTGTACCAAGGTTACACAGAATTGCTTTAAGTCTATCCTGAACTCCATAATTTCACAGCATGGCTTTCTTTGTTCAGAAATACTAAATTTAAGATAGTACACAAAAACATCTTACTATGAGAACTGTTGATCATTCCCAGAGGCAAGCAAAAAAGCAAGGACTACAAAACAACAGTTCTGGAAGCAACACCAGAGCTGCACACTGACATTCTGTTATACTACTATAGAAGCAACACTGGCTAATACAGAAGTAGCAATATTTTTCCCATAGAACTTCCATAATTTCAGCCCTTAATTATGGATTTCTGAAACTGCAAACTAAAGTCAATACTCCTCAGAAATTTCAATGCATCCAAATTAAAAGTCACTAAGGAACACTAATAGTATTTTTTTTTTCCAAACTAGTAGTATGCAAATTTAGCCTGGCTTATCTACATTACAGCACTGTAGTCAATTATGACCATGCTAATAAAATAATCATCCCCTTAAATGGTTCAACACATCAGGTCAGCCAGTGGCATTCACACCACTAAGAGCTTCCCTCTTCACTTCCCCTGTGCAAATACAGAAGAAAGTTTCTTCCAATTTGTCAGGTGTCAGTTCTAGAGTATTTTATCCTACTCTTCACCTTTCTTTAAAGGGAAGACTCAGAGAATGATACAAGAGCACTCATTCCCAATTTCTCATCTTCTGTTTCAGTCTGCCAGCCAGAGGCCAAAAGGAAGCATCCAGGCCCAAAAAAAAAAAAAAAAAACCACAAAACAAAAAGAACAGGACTTTGTGTCAGAACAGTCCCTCAAAACACTAGGATGCATGGTATTCCTCTTTCTTCTAGTGTCTGAAGCTCTCGACCTAGGCAATTTACCCCACCTAACACTACAGTTAGAAAACTCTATCCAGTTTCCAGAACTGTCAGAACTTGCTTACCTGTAAGCAAGAACTCATGCACTACTTGCAGTCTTACCACCACCTCTCAGCATGTAGAATTCACAAGACAACGCTAGGCAGCATTATGGAATTTTGCTAACTTCCAACAGGACGTGAGCTCAAGCAGTCTCTAAACAAAATTTGTTTCAGAGCTCTTCTCCACAAGACCTGTATCTCATCCTTCTGTAAATCACATTTTGCTTAACACTGCAAATACATATATATACACACACACACACATACACCCCTAGCCACAGACTAAGATAATTGTTTATTAAAGGTAACAGATCACAGAAGCAGACCAAATAAGCAGAAGTTATTGCAGTAAGTACTGTTACACTGCAAAACCTGTAACAATTCTGAACCAAATTTTCCTGGCGTTTGGAGGGATACCATTACCGGTCTGAATCAAAACAAGTATCTTACCTGCTGCGGGGCCAGACAGCAGACCGTGATCTCGAGCGTGATCTGGACCTAGACCTAGAAAGAGCAGTGAAAATTCAGCTACCGAATAATTCATATAGCTGACATCTTACAACAATTCTCTAAAATATCAATTATATTTTACAGAAGTTTCTTACATTGTTAGAATATTGCAACAGGCTTGCCCTGTAAAAACTACATGCATGACAGTTTTTTTTGCCCTATTTAAGGGTATACAATTACTAACTGCACACTTGCAACTAAAATAACATTTAACCATAGATAAGGCTAACACTAACAATGATACAGTACCAAAAAACTCAAGGATGAGTCTAGACTAAGCACACATTAACTTGAGAAAGAAATCCAGGTAAGCTGTCATATATGTAACTCCCATAAAGTTTCTGTAGACATAAAGAACATAGCATACAGACTTAGTGTTAACAGTTGCATCCCCTTTCAAAAAGGTTATAGACCTATAACCTGACAGACCTACCTTGATCTCCTTAAAGAACCAGATCGTGATCTGCGAGGTGAAAATGATCTATACCTACGAGGAGAGATGGACCTGGATCTACGATAAGAAGCTGATCTTGACCTTCAAAATAAAGAAGGACACCCCAGTTTATTACAAGTACTCTTGGTACAGAATATCGTGAGAAGAAAAGAAAGCAAAAACTGAAACAACCCACAAGCTCGAAACATACCTCCTACCACGACTACGACTRCGTGATCGAGAATACCTTCTTCCTCGGGACCTCGAACGGGATCGAGACCGGGACCTAGTTTTAGGTTAGAGAAAAGAGGTATCAGGAACAGTCACAGCAATCTGTGCACGTGAGCCTCTGCTGAAGTCAAAACTTCCAGACAAGAAAAAAAAAACAGAAACAAAAGCTAGTATCTGTCAAGTTGGAAAATTGTCTGGGCCTACTTGTCTTGAGCATTTTTACTACCTAAAAAAATGTTAAAAGCTGTATTACATTGCAGAATTACATTAGAATAGAAAACACTGTAATGTGTATTTAAAATAAACCTTGCAAGTTTGCAGGTCGACCCTCTTTGGCCCAAGGTCTAGCAGATCTAGACGATCTAGAAGTATCTATAGCCGATCGCTGCATCTAGGTGTTCTCTTCAATCTAACGACGATCAAACTGACAGCCCAATGAGCCAGGGTGAGGCTTGATTGACGCAAGAAGATTTTTCTAGGTGGGAATGTGGTCAATCTGGTGTTCCTCTTTCTAAACCGGAGGGGGGGGCCCCAATTGAAAGCCAAATTTACTGTTACGGCGATCACCGTCTCAAATTTTCTGCCCTTAAAGAATAAGGTGAAGCTACGTGTAGATGGCTCGAGGGGATCTGGCCTCTTATGCTGATCACCTCAAGGTCTAGGAGGATCTTAAGTGTCGGATTTGCAAGGCGCCTCAGCATGAAATCTTAAGGCTCGTGACATTCTGAATCAAGGCGACTGACTCAAACGAAGAAACCTGAAAGGTTTTGACCAGGTTGATTATTAAGATATTAACATTTGATAGAAATAGCAACAAATTGAAATATACGCCTATACATTTACTCTAGCTTTTAAAGTTAAAAGAAAACTGGCGTAACATTCTCTTCTTTACTAAGAAGAGCTACACAAGAGTTAACTGGTGAAGCAACCCGGCCACTCTGGTCTCACACATACCTGCTCCTCCTTCGGCGACTATAACGATGGCAATCATAAGCATAGTGGCCTTTCTCGCCACACTCATAGCATCTGTC